GTAAGCTATCTACAAAAAAAAGTATTACTAATAATAATAATAATTTGTACATAAAGGCTCATTTACCATCATTTGCTTCTGAGTGTTTGACATTGACCATACTAGACTATGGACTATGTCTACAAGGTGTTACATCCACTTGTTATACTGATAAGACTCTCCAGCTGTGTCCATTTTATAGACTATTTAAGATGGCAATGGCGGGTTAGTGAAGTTCTGCTGTGAAGCTTCGAGCTGAGTATTTTCACCAGTATCATCTTGGTATTAAGATGTAACCAATCAGAAGTGGACTCAGGGACACCACACACTCACTGGTTTACAACTTGTGATCGACAGGTACACAGTGAGTTGGTTTTAGCCTCTTTTTTTGACACTAATGTATTCAGTATGATTTTAAAAGTAGTGATGGAGCTCATAAACTCATTAAGAAACTGTTAATGAGATCACACATTGGGGCAGTTATAGAGTTTGAAAAATTTGCAGCCTGCTGGCCATTGAAAAGAATGCAGGCTTAAGTGGAGCCCGACCGATTTATCGGTGGGCCGATATTTTCAGCCATTATTAGTTATCTATTGAACTGTTGGTATTGACGTTTATAAAGACAGATGGAAAAAAAAAGAAAAAGAAATCAGAGAAAGAGCCCTTCACTGATGTTATGATTGTTGATGATGCATAGTTTGTCCACCAGAGGGCACTCCACAATTTTTCTGTTCCGAAACCGGGTTTGGAAGCTACCTACACAACAACCAGCTGACCTGAGTGGAGTCGGTCAGAGTGTACACGAGTAAATACACGTTACAAATATTAGAGAAATCTGTGTATGTCTCGTGTGTCTGAAAGAAAAAAATATTGGCAATATCAGAATATACGATTTTTTTTAATCACCAAATGTCTGTCGAAATTGGTCTTAAAAATCCCGTATTGGTTAGACTCTTCTGCATTGGCTTCCCTTTTCAGACCTTGAAGCGACTTTCATTTTTCATACACAGTCTATTGTGTGTGTCAGTAATACTCTGAATATAAAAGAAGATGACACCAGCAAACATCCTTAGCTGCTAAAGCTATTGTGCGTTACCGACATGTTCTCAAGTCAAGGAACCAGTACATCATAAGTAAAAGGATAAGAAAGGTGATAACTTCATCCACTCACTAAACCTTAATGTATACAGTGCATCCAGCTGAGATCATTTGGAGCCCAGCTAAAATAATCAAACTAAACACAGTCATTTAAATCTGTCTTTTATTTTTAAATTAGTTAGACACCTTGGGCTGTGTAATTAAAATGTAGATTTTTCAATTTGTACATAACACCCTACAGGCAGCTATAGCCCACAGTTTGGCACATGTTATGCTCAGGATATTTGGCCCAGCCTGATTAGATTGACTCACCAGGCACCATGCCAAAGGGTCATTTTGACAAAGTATTCATATTGTAAGTTAATTTTAATTTAAAAAAAAAAGTGATGTTATTGCCATGTGCCAGGATATTTTTGTATGAGGATGATACACTTTTCCCCCTTAATTTAATATTTAAAACATCCAAAAAATATATTGCTGCACTTTTTTTGAATGAAATTGTGTTTTAAAAAAAGCCAATGTTTGTTTGCATTTTTTTTAAACTTGTGGTCAGGATGTGATTCAGTCCAGGAATGCCATATTAGAAAAACTGAGATTATGAGTAAGCCATTAACTGTCTTTATCAGAACTATTTTTAATAGTCATAATAGAAATTCCTCCCAGCAACAAAGACCCACATGAGCTAACAGACGTGGTTTCCACTGAAATTCTTTATTATGACCTTTGACCTGCACAGGTAGAAGAATCTTTACGCTTCACAAACTGCTGTAAGTAGGTTACGAGTTTTAATTTGTGTCTCTTTGAGTGGGACACAGAACGAGAATGATAGATGAGGAGAGGAGGGACACTCCGGGTATTTGTTCTCTGCACAGGCACGCACACACACACACACACACACCAGCTTTGACATATGCGACTCACATTTCACCACTGATTTGGCATGATTCACAATTTCCTGGCTCTCTGCAACGCTATAATTCATAAGCCCGGTGAAAGGAAGGAATTACGGTTGGTTTTATCCGAGGAATACACTCATCTTACACACAACACCTAATCTTCTCCCAGCCGGTGTAATCCATCTTGTTGTTTTGCTCAAGTTTGTGTTTTCATTGTGTATTTTGCACAGCACTGGGCATTTTTTGTGACGAGACTATATCATGAATGATATTTGATATCCATTCGTCACGTTTTTTTCTGTCTCATTAATCGAAATGAATGGTGTTGTGTGTTTGGCGTGTGCATTCTGTGTGTGTGTGTGTTGACTTTTCCACAGTAAAGACTAATCCTGTTGCACTGCTTTAAGATAATGATCTAGTTCACACACACGAACAGACACACACTGGCCTGAATGCCATTCTCCTCAGCGCTCGGTGTGGGCAGCTGTGTGTGTCACTCTGCTTTTGTTTTGCCATTTTCTCAGTGTGTTTTTCTAAGATCACCGTGGCTTTAGCTACAAACAGAGGTGCGTGTGTATTTGTGTGTCTGTGTTGGTGGGTGCATTTGCGCTTGTTTTTTGATCCGACAATCTTGCCAGAGCAGGTCACCTTAATGGCTGAAGCCCTGAAACAAAGAAAGCCATTGTTGCTGGTTACCCCAGTCTACCTTGAACTTCATTCTGCTTTTTTATTGCTTCTGCAATGTTGCCCGAATCGTAGCAAGATGAATCAGTATGTCTGTGAGATAAAACAGGCAGTTTATCTGAGACTTTATTTTGCCGTAACAAAAAAAAAATGTTGTTTTTATTACCCTTTAAGGATTTATTTAATTAATAAACACCATTACTTTGGTTGTGGCAATAGACTGTACATAAAAGATGACTATTTATGTGAAAATGCTCCTTGGCTTCCGTGAACTATGATGTTAGTCAACATTTTATAGTCTCTGTTGACAGTTTGATTCTTATTTAATAAAACACAATGTTTACGTTATGAAATCTGTAGTCTTACAGTAAAACTAGAGCTGGGCGATAGCACGATAACGATATGTATCGCGAAATAACTTTTTCTCGATAGAAAAATTAAACTATTGCAATAGACCTCACCGCTCTTGTCCTCTTAAAAAAAAAAAAAGAACAGCCAATCCAAATTAAGTAGCGCAGAGCCGAACCAATCACAGCCGCAGCGTCACATCACGTGACTTGTTACGTACAGCACAAGTGCCAAGCCGCACGTGTGTATTTGTTTGGGAAGCAGCCAGCCGCCGTGCCGCCCGGGTAATGGAGGAAAAGAGTGCGCCGACTAGAGAAAAATCAACCGAGAGCGTGACCGAAGGTTACCGAAGAGAAAACTGATGATGGTTGTCGAACGGAAGAGCCATAGAAGTTCCTTAGTGTGAAAGTATTTTGGCTATTTCAAGTCTGACAAAAACAGAGTAGCGCGCACTGTAAATTGTGCCGAAAACAAGTCTGGAAATACAATAAAGCGGTGCATGCTCAATCTCTGACTGGAAGCGCTAATTCGTCATTCGGCTTTTGTCAGACTAAAGTAACTGTTAAAACTGTTTGAAAAGCTAAGCTATACAACAAGGAGAGATTGAGAATTTCCTTTTAGTTCTCAGTTTATTTGATATTGACAAAAGTTAGTCAGTTTTGTCTGTTCTTCTGTAAAACAAACTAAGATTTATTTTTAGAATTAATATTTTGTTTCTAAGTGGAATTGACAATTTAGTCTGTTTCGTTTGTTCTATTTTGAAACTTAAATGATTTAGCGGCTGCCTTTTGTGTAGTTTGCAATATTTGCCTTTATTTATCTGAAAAAGTCTCATGTTCCTTAAGTACATCTACCCTGTTGAACTTATTGTGGGAAATAAATATTTAAATCAAAACAAGCTGCTGATTATTTCACATTTTACTTGTGAGCAACGGCACATTTAAATCTTACAAATATAGTTATTTGGCTTATATCGTGATAGATATCGTTATCGCCTGAAATGAAAAAAACATATCGTGATATGAAAAAATCTCATATCGCCCAGCTCTAAGTAAACCAATGCAATGTAGCAGGGTTGACCTATATTCTTATTTCTTGAGAAGTTACTGAATAAGTGTGCAGTGTCCCCAAGTTTCTCAGTCTGATCCAACCCTTGCTTCTTATATCTGACAAAACCACTCTGTTTGAGGCTTGGCTATGGGAGATAAGTAACCAATGTGATGATGTAGTGAAACCAGTGAAATATACTTCCTCTCTATGTATTTGTTTAAAATACAATGATAGGGTTTTTTCTGTGTATAAGAATGTCTGGGACCAAAGACTTAGGATAATAATATATATATAATTTGTTTTTTTAAGCATTAAAAAGCCCAGTTCTGCAATTTCAAGTAAGGCCTAGTAAGGACAGATTTACACTTTACTGTTGTTTATGCCAAATTCTGACCATACCGTCTGCACACACTGGTTGTAACCAGCGTCCTGTCCGCTTGAACCGGTCTGGCAGTTTTCTGGATGTTGTCTCTTTTTAAGACCTTTCTTTGTAAACCATAGAGATGGTTATGTGGGGAAAAATCCTCACCCAGCCTTTTGGGCACCAACAACCATGCCCCATTCAAAGTTACTTAAATGACCTTTCCTCGCCATTCTCATGGTCAGTTTGAACTTCAGCATGTCTGCATGGCTAAATGCATCAACTTGCTGAAATGTGATTGGTTGACTAGATATTTGTGTTACCAAGGAGTTAAGCAGATGTTCCTAATAAGGTGGCTGTGATACATACATACATACATACATGTAAACCCTTCTTTCACTCTCTGGCCTTATCAATAAATTGCTCACATTTCTTCCACTAAAACCTGATGGTGTTTGTGAAAGTACAGATGATGCTGTTTTTAAAAATGAATTTTCTTTTAGTTTTTTTTAAACAAATTACTTTAAAAGCAAGTGTGGTGCTATTATGTAATGTTTTATTATATTTTTGCTCATGACAGTGCAGTTTTTTGTGGAAAACCTCATCCCTCCAAAACGTCTGCAGGAAGAATAATAGACTGGTTTTGTGACTGACCACTGTTCATTTTTGACTCTGTCCAGTGTGTTTTGGCAAAGACTTTTTTTAGGCCCAAGAATGTGGAAATTTTCTTAAACCGTATTTAGACTGTGATCTATCACATTTGAAATGTAAACATTCAAATTCAAATTTTAGCTGCCAGGTTTTGAGGCAGCCAATGCCCAGACCTTATTTTCTGTCTATTTTTACTTTTGGTTACTCTCTTTAATAATAAATTGAAATGGACTAATTCTGTAGATGTGTTCTTCACCAGTAACAGAATTGCAAAAGATATTTATCATTATGACCTTGTTAAATAAAAAAAGAGGCCATTTGAAGGAGCTGATTGCTACTTCATCATTTCTTCCAACTTATTTATGTGGTATTTCTGCACAAGCACTGAATTATTTCATTTTTTCGCCTCTCTACAGCAGAGCTCCAGTAACGGAGCTCCAGATGGCCAGAAGGTGGAGGGCGGCTGTCTGAGCCCAGAGCCAGCGGAGGAGCAGCGTTCAACGGACGGAAAACGTGTTAGCCGGGACTCTGACACCCGATCGGTGTCCCTGCTGGAGCAGAAACGCAAAGTAGTCTCCTCCAGCATTGACGTCCCCCACGCTAGGTAGGACTGTGTATATGAAATTCTCTAGCAGTGACAGTCTGATTCCTATCCTGCAGGCAGCTTGGCTAGAGTGGTACAGGCAAAGTTCACGAAAAGTTTATGACATAGATATGTCATCTCACAAATAGGACAGACCTTATGTGGGCTGACATCCTGTATTTTATTTGATCCTCGAAGCCATTTTTGCAGCACATAGTTTACAAGATAATTTGGCAAGAGTCTGCTTTACTCCATTACATAAATATTTTATTATATGGCCTCACACATGCTACACTCTTCCAACATACAGTGTTGTGTGTGTGTGTGTGTGTTTATTATAAATAGATAGATATATAGTTGCATAGATGTGTATGTGCAAGTAATCCAAATCCATATAATCCAAAGGTTCAGGCTTCAGACTGATGTAAACACTCAACAGTTTGTTTGTTTTTTTTCTACTGTTAATGTGGATGATGTCATCTCGGGCAGACAGCTGTCTGAGAACATGCCTCAAAGAACTGCTTTTCAAACCTTCTCCTTGTGATCGAGACAAGAAAGTTGACTTCAAGGGAGGGGGAGGGTAGCTAAAACTGCTTCCTGACATAGCGTGAACTACACCAGTGTCTACTATAAGATAAATGTGGATTATTATGAATCGTGACTCACATAAAGCTAGTTTAGTAGAATCCAAGAGTAAAAATATGGAGGCGGAAATGAGCATAATAGGTCCTCTATAAACCGATCCAGACATTTTGTTGATTTAGGATTCTATCCGTGTTCTGAATATTAAAAGGTTTTCAGCAAAATGTTGCTTTTGGATGCTGTTTCTTTAACTTGCAGAAGCATTTATGGGTATTGTTATTTAAACGGCATGCCTCTCTGGTGGTTTCTCAACAGTTACCCTGTTGAGCGTCTTTCCTGCTACACAGCAAAGACACCGTGGCCTTGCAGAATACTTTGCCCTTATAGCCCGCATGTACAGTTGTTGCTTTCATGTGGTATAAACATTGGAGCACATATTCCAAACTGATCCTACATGCAGAACATAACCCTATACAACTGGAAATAATTATTATGTTATGATGCATTAGTTATTTCTTTACTCATTCGGTGGTTCTCTTTACACTGCACACACACACGTGCACACACACGTGCACACAAATATTATTTTAGACCACCAGACTAATTCCCCACATAAGCCATTTCCACAATAGAGCAGTTAACCATTGGTGGGCAGCAGTGCACGACAGTGAAGTTCTATCTAATAAAGGAACAACACTCTTTCTCAATTAAATGTGAAACCCTAATACCTTGTAAAGCACTTTGCTGTTATTGGACATCACTCCTCATTACCTGCCTTCACTCTGCTGCTGGAGTCCAATCGATGGCAACTTGCTGAAAAGTACAGCAAAAGTTTCCCATTTGTGCAACTTTATCACTCCATCCTGAGCTATTGCCTTAAATTTAACTGTTATTTGTTGATGAGTCATTGATTAGAAGCTGCCTTATGGCCCATTAAGAAGGAAGAAAGGTCTATCGCATAGATTAGACTGGAATTTCATACTTGTCCTTTGGATGGGGATTGCAAAAATATTGATATTTATGTGTTTATGGTTGGATGTCTTATTGATTATCTTGCTGCTCAAGTTTATGTGCAATCACTAGACCAACTTCATGTTGTCTAGTGATTGCACCTCCTCCCGCTGAGGCCAGCTAAAAACAATGTAGCCACGGGGAGATGTCTTATAAGTCACATTCAGAAATCCTCATAAAATGACTGAAATAAGACATGACCTTCAGAGAGCTTCACATCTTCAGAGTTATTGGTGTGGGCACACACAGCACTCCGAAAATCCAAATTGGCTCTCCAGCCAGAATTCCAACTGGATTATGTATGCTGTGATCTTATTTAGACTGTGCAGACATCTCTAAGGCACCAAAAACATGAGCACTGTGTGCAATACTTCTTAAATACGTGTGTATATAGAAGCAACCAATGACTAAAGTTAGATTTGGTTTTAAACTATGAACACCTTTGCGTATTTGGGTGTGAAATGAAAAGCTAACAATGGCTGCCATGGCTACTTTTAGCACATTGCCATGGCATGATGGCGTTTTGCAATGTGCTTCTGGAGTCGGGGGCTGTGCTATAACAAAAACTAGTCGTGTCAGATTGTCAGAATAGATCGCACTAATTCCAATCTCATGGTTAGAGGTTAGGATATGGTACCTAAACCCACTATCCACTCTAATGAAGGGCAGCAGATCTTTCACAGTAAACTTGGAAAGAACCCTGTAATTATGTTTTGGTTTTTTTCCCTGCTTTGTTCTAATGAAGCTCTGGCTGCCACTTGTTGAAACACTAATACGAACATTTAAGAAGAAGTCCTTGAAACCAATTCTGTGTACAGACTTTTGTGAAATGATAGCAAGTGTTATCTTCATTTGACAAGTCAAGGTTACACTTCACTTTTTTAGTTTTTTTTAGTTTGACAATTTCCATCTGCATCTGAACCAAAAGCTGCTAAAAAAGCAAAAACAGTCAAACATGCTGAAATGCTCTGGCCTTATCAGATCTTGTATTTTTAAGTCTTTTCTGGGGCTGTTTGTGTTACTGCCTTTTTGCACATCAGCAACTTTGTCATTATTAGGGATTTGTTAGTTATTTCACTTCGTGAGCCAAAAAATGAAAGTCACATAAATACCATTTGAAGTCATAAGCCACTTTTCCATAGATTTTTCCATTTTTCAATAAATCGCTGCACCACCTTCCTATTTTCATCGCAATAAATTTAAACAAATGAACTTCTGTACAGTACTCTACTTTCATTTATACCTGAAAGACACCTCTCTTCTGTTTCTGAACATTATTTTTCTGCCTTCATTCGGCAGACACAGTAATGACAGAGACAGGAGACATGGGAAGATAAAGCAAATGTCTATATGTGCAGATGACTTGTTTGCCCCTTAATAAAGTTTCAGCATTGAAGAAGAATAATTGTGGATTATAATTGTGCAAAAGCAG